CATGTGTATGAATAGACAACATGGCATCTGATGAAAATGCACTCGGTCTTAAAGCAAAAAGAAAAAACGCGCGCATGTATGTATTTGATTGAATAGTATAAGTGGAGTATAAGTGGAGAAAAAAAATAATGAAAGAAAGAGAAAGAGAAAGGGATAGACAGATAGATAGATAGATAGATAGATAGATAGATATAGATATACAGACAGACAGACAGACAGATAGATAAATAGATAGATAGATAGATATAGAGATAGACAATAGAAAAAGAAAAGGGAGGGGATTGTTAGAAGAATTCAGATGCCTTGTGACCTTTATTTCCCATAAATTCTGATTATTTAACCTTATGCCTCTTAAATTCAATATTTTTTTACTTCATAATTTCTTTTAGTTATCTCCTCTCTGAGTCCAGACTTAAATATTTTACATGCAAGAATGTTATGCAAACACACATAATAATTATACACATTCACTCAATCACTCGGACTGATTACATACATTCACAACAAATATATTAGAGAAAATTCGAAATGAATTCTATTGGACAAAATGCTACATTTTATCAAATATTGATAGCAAAGTTATCTAGTATAGTTTAAAGGAGTAACACATACAGATAAAATTCTTATGATTCTTAATATACTTTTGATTCTTTTCTTTTTTCTATCTTCTTTTTAAATCTTACTACATTCATTAGACATGTTTTCGCGTCCCAAAATCAATTAGTTAAAAAAGAAAAAACCTTCAATTAGCTATGTATCAATTATAAAAGACTTGTATGCATAAAGTACTATAATAAATAATCATTTGATGAGAAAGCAATTGTTCATATAATGAAACAATTTAAATTATTCTAAAAGAGAAGTTCCAGAAACACAGAAAGTAATGACATTTCAATTGCATACACATAATTGTGAAAGATGCAGTGATAAATTTCATGATTGTGGGACACAATTTAATATAAAAATTCATTAATCAAATATGGCCAAGTTTTTATCGGAAAATTAATAAATAGCATCATAAAAAATGAAATGTTCTCTTCGAGAGTGAAAAATAAAATTTGACGGTGTTTGTTGAGAGAATGTGTGCGAAATGTTTTATAGGTGAAAAAATAAATTCTATGAAATATGTATCAAGTGGATAAGGAATCTGCCTAATTAATAATGTTGCAAGAGGGTAAAATTAACCCACCTGGCACCTCTAACGAAAATTGGATACAAATCGCCAATCGTTAAAAAATAAAAGTTTTGTCCCACCATTTTTTCCTATAGAATTTCCTTTGGTTACTGCTTGCTGATTTAAGGACAATTATCAACTTACGTGCGTGCTTTGTAAATTCTTCGAACAAGTCATCTCGGTCTCGATTCTTTGGAATATTTCCCACAAACAAGCGGTGATTGTTATAAGATACGGTAACACCAATCTTTTTCCCTTTCCGAATCTCATAATCATTCAGCTGTAAGAATAATGTGGAAGGAGAGTGCCAATTAAGCTTGCCTTTTATAATTTTACCTGCTTATTGGCTGTCTGAACGTGGGATATCGTGAAGCGACCTTTAGGGATATTATATATATCTTATACGAAAGGATAGGGCAAGCATATCAATAGATGAATGTGGAAAATTAAACTGGAATTAATTTTCGTACACTGTCGATAACATGATATATAGGCAGGTAGATAGATGAGTAGGTGAATACATAAACGGAAAATAAATATTTAGATAGGTAGGTAGGTAGGTAGGTAGGTAGGTAGGTAGGTAGG